TTGCGTTTGTTTTAGCGCGATTGTTGAAATTAAGTGTATCGTAAAGTTGTATTCGGAAAGAATAAACCAGTTTTATTAAGTAAGGACTTGTGTTGCTAACGTTTCGTCGGAACGAAGTTACGGAAAATCAATTAACAAACGGAGACGTAATACTATATAATATTTATATGCTAAGCGATAGCTGAACTAGTTTAAAGGACATTTGAATATGAACCAAATCTACGAGATGTTTGCGAATTACAACTGATTAACTATAACTGTATTTGAGTATTCCATGAAATGTGCTAATTACTATAACGCATTTTGTAGGTCACTGGTTCTTAACTTTTTGTTACTATAACCCAAATCCTGGACAAGAATCCACACTTTGGTTACCAAGGCTTGTGTATGATTTGTTGAAGTTTTTCTGAATAGTCCTGGTATATTCCTTTTTTTTTCAATCATATTAAGTAAAAGGCATCTCTCCTTTTTGGAAATTATATATCCTTGATCAAAACACATTTTCATGATCTAACTGTGTGAACACTTTACGTCAAATAGAGCTGTTATTATATTGTTTTCTGGCAGGAATTCAGAATCCTTTCATAGATATACCAACACAAGGGCTTCTACTAAAGCAGCCTTCAGGGACTGGAATGCTTGCTCACATTATTCACTCTGAAGCGTGTATCCACCGTAGTAGGATCCAATAACGGTAAGGCCATTTTGTAAACGCTGGCCATGGACCATTGGTAATATGAAATTAAACCAAGGAAATTGTAGACTTAGATTTTTGTCACAGTTTGAAGCCAATCTAACATCACTGTTATCTGAGCAGGATCCGTGGAATTTCCTTGTCTACACACAACATGACCGATAAATTACACTTCTGTCATAGTTATGTGCACATGAAAGTACATTTTTCTGTTTCAGGTCTGTTTTTCTCTTATTTGCTGGAAATTCAGTTTCAGGTTTTTAGCTGCGGACGTGAATGTGGATACTGGCCGCTTTACTTCACGAGTTATCAGTTGTAGAAAGAAAGAAATCATGTATCTCTGCAGTATCGGCAAAACGTTCACGCAATTTACTTTTGATAAAACATATTATTACAGTATTCATTATTACCTCACCAAACGTTGTGTATAAGCTTTAAGAACTCAGTATGTATATACTTAAAATACTGTTACGTCTTTATTCGTTTGTTAATTTCCCGTAAAAATTATTTCCGAAGAACTTCGGCGTTACAAGTCCTTTCTTAAATAAAGCTAGTTTATTATTTTTCAATACAACTTTGCAATACACTTAATTTCCACAGTCACTTTAACTTCAACACACGCTATAATTCACAACGATTCACCTACTTTACTTATGGTCACTACCGCTCGCTTGACTCAATTATCTGTCTCTATATCTCCCTATCTGCAATTATTTGCCGGGCTTATATACTAAACTAGAGAGCGCCTGGAAAAGTCTATAGTTGCCAGGAAAAGTCATGATGCTTCTAGAAGCTCATGACGTGTTACCAGCGTCACGTAACTTCCGCTGTCGTAACAATATGTTATACACTGTGTGATGGACTTTGTAGGAAGCGGTAGTGCAAAATAGTGGCGGTAAGGATGCTTTCTTTTACCCGCTTTCAACACCCAGTCTTAACGTCCTTCATCAATGTTTCACGTGATTAATTAATAGAAGGTCATTGGTCGCAGAAGTGTCTTACGGGCCGAAGTTGAAAGGTCGTGGCGAAAGTAAGAAGTTGGTATAACTCAAGAAACGGCTCTTCATATGATCCTTATGGTGGCTTTAGGAGTAGAAATTTCAGCTGAGTTTATGTATTATTGTAATAGTGGCAGCCATTTTGTTTTCATTGCATTCCTCCATAGTGAGCGTTAGCGCACTCTTTGAGATATATATGACGTTTGTGTGCCCTCCCCCACACTGTGAGTATGTTGTGTTATATAAAAAAAATATAACAGTGTTTTAGTCTACGGACGTGGCGCCATCTATGAACTAGATTAACCTTTACTTAGTCAAAGACGTAGGAATGGTCATATAACGGACAAACGGACAGACAACAGATTTTTTTTTTTTGCTTTATATATCTATATCAGATAGCATCCCACCCACACATTTTTTAAGTTCATAGCCCGAAAAATGTACGTGTATTCCAGCTTGAAGAGAATAAATTATAAATTCAGAATAAATGCTATAATATTACAAGAAGATATGCTGTTTGTTGTTTTATAATAGCAAAGCTATATAATGAGCTATACACGGGCAAACTGAAGAAGAAAGGTCCATATTTCGAAAGTGGTCGGATTTTAGGGTTTTTATCATTTAGTATCAAGATTTATTGAACCTTCGTGCTTTTCTGACATCATGAAAATAGCCTATATCAATATATTGTTTGAGATTCCCGACATGTGTTTGCCAGTTACCTCTCACTAGAAGTTTATAGAAATAATATTACTTAAAGCAATAAATCAGAAATAAGGATACAATAATAAAGAAAAATGAACAAAAAAATGAAAAATATATTTCGGCATATATCCCTCACTAAGTAAGTAAGTTTGAAGGCTCAATGTTTGCTGAAGAGGGCGCTGTGGCAAATAAGGTTGTGAAACACTGAGCTAAAACGTGAGTTAGCGCTTTAATATAACTAAAAATTCATAGTTGAACTATACGATAGAAGGAATGATAAATGAACGTTAAACAAAACCATAACAAAGTAATAGTAGAATTTACAATCTCACAGTGTATGTTTATTTCTGATAATTAGTTTTAGGTAATAGCATCTGTTTTTAATATGCTCGCCCTTTTAGTCGTGGGAGCGTTATAATGTATCAGTCAATCCCACTATTCATTGGTAAAAGAGTTGGCGGTGGGTGGTGATGACTAGCTACCTTCCTTCTAGTCTTTCACTGCTAAATTAGGGACGGCTAGCGCAGAATGTTCTCGTGTAGCTTTGCGTGAAATTCACAAATAAACGCCCCCCAGTGGCTCAACGGTATGTCTGCGGACTTACAACGCTAGAAACCGGGTTTCGATACCCGTGGTGGGCAGAGCACAGATAGCCCTTGTGTAGCTTTGTGCATAATTAAAAAAACAAACAAACACAAACAAACAAACAATTAAAATGAAGGTGAGCTAGTGCTTTAAATATAACTAAGATTTTATAGTTGAAATAAACAATAGAAGGAATAAAAAAAATTAAAGTATAACAAAATAACAGTAAAATTCGCAATCTCACAGTGAATGTTTATTTCCAATAACTAGTTTTATGTAATATTATCTTATTATTATTATGATAACCTTATTTTCACATTTTTGTAAACTTTTGGTGTGGGTAATAATTGATGATACAATTTCGGAAACTTTACACTCAATTTTTGTAAAAAAATTAAATTTATTTATTAATTTTTCATATAAATTCCTGTAAGAAGATTGCTTTTTGTATATAAAAGATAATTAATACAGTATGCTAACCAAAACCAGATATATACATCTTAGTTTTGTATGCGTATTATCCTTATTAATAATTTTCCTATATTCTAAAATAGCATTTGAACTAAATAGGTTATAAATTAACATGCGATATTGTGATCTTGGAAGGTATTTCATTAAAATAGAACTCTTTGACAAACAGACAAAAGATAAGATATAATATAAAACTATGAAACTTTTCCTAAATATTAATCAATCAGGTTTTAACTTTTTTTTTATACAGATTTGCAATGTAATTGTTCAATGATCA